ATGCAGGTCTTCGAGTTTTCGCAAAGACTGCGCAAGCATGGCAATTTCAACCTTTCGGAGATGTAGAAGGACGCTATCTCGCGAGGTTGAACACCTCAGGTGTCGGACAACAGCTTTCGGTGTGCTATAAGGAGGACGAGGTGCATCCTAGCAGGACCATCGGTTGTCTGAGGAGAACGGATTCAGACGAGTCTCAGCAATGGGATATCAGCGAATGGGGTAAGCTTGGGCTTTGTGAAAATTGAATTGAAGAGTGACCAGCTGACAGAATACGCTCAGGTGATGGCTCATACAAGTTCACCAATGTGGGCAACGGCTCAAATTACGTGCTGGATGTCCACCCAGGATCCAACCTTTTTATGTCCAGCGAAATCGAAGGAAGCGATGGTGTTTCTGGAAAACAGGTTGCCCAGCATTGGGTCATGACAAGTGAACGCCCTGTTGACGATGGCGCCTACTCGACCATCTACAGCGCGGGAGTGAGTACAACTCTAGATGAGCATGAGTTTTACTGCGATGCTGACTTTCGTAGACCACTCCCGTAGCATCCGCAACGGCGACCGGTACAAATACTGCTGCAACTGGGACAGCCACCGCAACTGGATCCGGCTGGGGTGCGGCCGCTACCTCCACCTCTGAAGCAGACTCATCAGCCGGAGGTCTATCATCCGGTGCTGCCGCTGGCATTGGAGTGGGTGTCTCCCTCGCCGCAGTCGCCCTCATCGGCGCCGCACTTTTCTTCTGGTGGCGTCGTAGGAAAGCCTCCAAGGGCGCCGCTGTCCCTCAAAGCGATCACCCCGAACTGGGAGGAGACCAGCCCGGCATGGCGAAGCTCAGTCCCGGCACCGTCAACTCGACCGTCGCCTCATCTCCTTCTCCCAACACACCTCACAACGGCTACTACGGCCAGGAAGCCAAGACTCTTGGACATCTTCAGCCCCATGCTCACGCCGCCGAGGCCGGTCACAACCCTATCTACGAAGCCCCCACATCCGAGACCCGCTACGAACTAGACTCCGGTCATACCCAAGGGGGCAATGGGCCAGCACAGTTAGACGACACGGCGAGACGATAAAGATGATAGGCGGAGGAGTGGGGGTAATGACACAGGAATGGGTTGGAAATGGAGCAACAAGAAGGTTCAAGGCATTTAAATCGGTCTTTATACCCTTCGATACTGCTTGGAGACGGGAGCCAAGTGGTCGACCATATGAACTTGGTGCCAGGAGTTTGTAAGATCTGCCGGGAATGAAGATAATGAGTGGCGAACCAAGGCCGGGTCTTTTGTACATAACTCTCGTTCTATCAAAAAAGTTGACACCACGAACTATCCTGATGGCGGCCGGTCTCGTCTGCGTGCATCGACTTCACCATCCGTCACCCACGCGACCATCCCCAGAGACTTCTCACCGCAGACTGCCAGCCTTGTAGTTCGCACAATCTATCGTCATACAATGCAAGGGCTCGATTCACTATTATTATATGCGTTGCAAAGGCACTCATGATCTACATGCAGCCCATCGATCCATGTCCTGAGAGACAGGTCAGGCTTCTTCTTGAATGACAACATCAAAGCACGTTGACCGCCACCTTCATGTCTCTGTAGCTCAACTCTTTCCAATGTGTTCCTCCACATGGATTGTCCTGACATTGTCGAACTCAATACCCTGGCCTTCAGGGCTTGGCATCATCTTCCCGCGTTTCGGGCCCATCTGATCTTGGTCCATGGCAGATTGGATGTGGTTAGTCATGTAGACGGTGGGGTCCTCGACGAACAGGGAACAAAGTAACGCGACCACACTGAAAGGGATGGTAATGTAAAAGACGATTTTGAAGGCGTGTCCCGCCGCGGTGCGAACGGCCACCTTGAGTGCTTCCTGGATCTCTGGCGTAATGCTTGGAACATTGAGCAGCGCTCGCGGGTTGCCCAGGTTATACTCAATCGATGCCGGGATGATGATTCCAAGGTCTGCCGGGTTAAGTCCGTTGCTGATGGCGGCGGCAGCAATTTCTTCGCCTGCAAACTCACGGAACTTCTCCTGGAAGATGGTGTTGAAGATGGCGTTACCGACTGCACCTCCGCCGGATCTGAAAGTGCCGAGCAAGCCCATGGCGACACCTAGGTTCGAATGAGGGACGTGGAGACTCGCGATGGCGTAAGAGAGGATGGTAACCCAGACGAACATGGGAACTCCGAATGCTGGGACGAAGGCATATGCGAGCTTCTCGTTCGGATAGACAGTCGCAGCGCTTGCGCCGATGAAAAGGGCCTGCAGCGCCATACCAATGACGAGCTGCCACTTGATGTAACCAACCTTGTGAGCGATGAGGGGTGCCAGCACACCAGTGAAGCCAATCATCAAGGTATTGGGGAGCGACAACACTCCAATCTGAATGCCATCTGGGGTAAACATGTATAGGGTCCCTTGGGGTAGTAGCGCTGACATAGCGTGGAAGTTCATCCCAGAGACAAAGAGAACAACCAGCAACACGGAGTATTGGCGGAACATAACAAACAGCTTCAAGGGGAACATCGGGTGAGCGGCAATCTTGAAGTCGTACCAAAAGCCAAAGGCCAAGACTCCAAAGCCGACGACGATGGGAGCAATCGCACCGGCACTATTCCACGGGTATGCAGGTGTGCCGCCCCATGTCAAGCCGATGAGGGCCACCGCCAGACCTGTGGTGAACAGGAACAGCCCAATCCAATCGACATCGCGAAGCTGCTGCAGGCGAGTCTTGTCATAGTCTCCCCGCGGCCTGGCAGTGGGATGGTAGGAAAATGCGGTGCCGATCAAACCGAGGACCTCGATGATGATGCCCAGGTAGAAGATCCAACGCCATGATGCATACTTCAGCAGAGCATTGCCGAGGAGGACGGAGAGGATGCCCCTGGATGGTTTCCAGAACGGTCAGCGTGCTTCCATCTTGGCTTTCATCGGCAGTAAGACTGGCAGTAGCGCCGTGCGGGGATTCTCCAAGTTCACGGCAAAGAGGGTGTGGTGTTCGGTCGGCACGTCGCCTTTTTTCAGGTCGGCCACCAGAACTGGGTGCCGAACATTTCCAGGAATCGAAACAGAGTTTCTGACTCAGGGAAAACGTTCGAACTATGCGACGCGGAAGACGGGAACGACAACAGGAAAAGGGTCATATGTTCGGACTCACCAGGGAACCGCGATGCCAGACTCTAATATGCCTAGGCCAAGGGATCGCCACTTGTTTGGGAGCATTTCGGGGACACCGGCGTACGAGACAAAGACGAAGCCTGTGCCGATACCGATGAGAGTCTCGGCTGCGATGAGACTAGAGATGTTGTTGGCCGTGGCTGCGACGATGCATCCGACGGCGACAGTCGCCTGGCCGCCGAGGACCAGCAGTCTGCGGCCGAAGACGTCGCTGAGCGGTCCAGCGAGGGAAAATGAACACGCCGTCGAAAGAGACCATGATCCCACAACCCAGGCCAGAGATTCCTGCCCACCGAGCTCGTTGGTGACTGGGACAACGATCGATGCAACTGCGAGGAAAGCGAGTCCGACAGCTGGGCCGAAGGAGAAGGCCATAGACTGCAAAGGATGGCCTGTCAGCGGGAGACTCAAAAATGAAATTTGAGGGTTCTTACGAAGATTGCGATCCAAGTCTTGATGCTCACGCGCGCTTCTGCTGGATTGTCCTCCAAAGCTGCGCGATGGGGATCCTCCTCGTACTCGATAACCGCCTGGGCCTCTTGGGCCATGCGAATCTTCATCTCCCTATCGCGCCCCATCCTCGAAGACTCGTTGTAAGACATTTTGACGATGATGAGATCACGATAATTGAGGAATTGCGATCAAGAAACAGCGTAAACGTGTCACATTCCTCACACGCATCTGCAAGTTCACGGACATGGCTCGAGCCTTTATTATAACCACTGAAGTGATCCAGACGATAGGTAATGATCCGAGCTCTGCTCCTGCGGGGAACACTCCAAAGCTTAATGATGAGCAATGGCACTTTGCAGTACGTGCCGTGTGATTGGGGACACCACGAGACGAGCGCCTGCCAGGGTTGATCGACTTTTCTGGATGCAACATGGCGGGGATTAAGCTGCCATCGACTAGCGCGGCGACGTCGTTCTTGGAGAGGAGGGGTCGGCAGATACGACTGCTGCAAAACCACGACTGTTACATGAAAACTTTCGTCAAATTAGCTTTCGTGCCGCGGACGGCAGCCGCGTTGGAGTATGGGTGGTTGGCCATGGCTTTTGTTGGCAATGTTGGCCATGTTGGAGTTGGATCGCATGGCACGTCAGGGGTGTTATTGGTCGATGCTGCCGTGGTAGCAATTCAAGTCGGCATGGCGAGGGGCTTCAATGGGGTGCCGACTGCTGTTCTTGGTTACGCCATCCCGTCTCTTCCCGAGCTAGGTTGCTGTGGTTGTGAGTAGCATTTGAGGAAGCCATGACACCCGTGTTGCTGAGTTTGGACAATCGGATTTTCCCAATGCAAATAAAGACCAGAAAGTCTAGGCTCTACAGACGCCCGATTAGGCATTGAAACTGAGTCAGTCTGATACCAGAGATTACTGCTGGTGTTAACAAAACCTCTAATAATACGAATTGCCCGGCATCTGGGGTTGGGTATGGCTTTGTTTCAACAACATCATATTGTAGTAAAGTCCAATTTGGCCAGCTCATCGACACTAATGTTCTGGTAGAAAGTTCGGAGGGCTAAAAGCCCAATTCCTATTCGTGCCAAACACTTCAATCATCTTGATGGTCACGCAAAGGGTCGTGTTTTATAAGAAACAAGGAAAGTTTTTACATTAAATGCGTATCAGCGCCGTGTCAAACACCGCATGATACTGACTATGGAAATACAAGATCCAGATAAAGAAAGACCTCTAGAATCCCAGTGTTGAAACCAGCAACCATTAACCCTCTTCCTCCAGTACAATTTAGCTCCTAGCTCCCAGCTCCTGCTCTCCAAACGCCAACGCTCTTAGTGTAAGAGAAAGTTTTCGAATTAGGCGGCGAAAGCCACAGCTCGCTTGGGGGCGGCGGGTTTGGGAGCGGCAGGCGCAGGCGCAGGAGCACCAGGTGCGGCGGGAGCAGCGGGGGCTGCAGGTCCGGCAGGCTTCGGCGCGGGAGCCTTGGGTGCGGCGGGAGTGGTGGCTGCCGGGGCAGCTCCGGGGGCAGTAGCGTTCGGAACGGGAGCAGCAGGCTTAGGAGCACCGGCAGCGGCGCCAGCGGCAGGAGCCGGAGCGACACCCGCAGCGGGGACCGGGGCGGCTCCGGCAGCCGGAGGTGGGGCCACGGCATCGGGCTGCTCAGCCTCAGCGGGCTTCTTGCCCTTCTTACCCTTCTTGCCCTTCTTTCCCTTCTTGCCCTTCTTGCCCTTCTTCTTCTTCTTCTTGCCTTGAGCGTCGACCTCGCCATCGTCCTCGACGTCATCTTCCTCAAAGGCCTCCTCTTCCCACTCGTCCATCTCGTTCTCATCTTCGGGTTGAGGAGCCGGAGTCAGAGCCGAAGGGGGCGGGACTTGGCGGCCGGAGAGATCGGAGATCGCCATATCACTGTGTAGATAGGTAAGACTCATGTCGATAGAACGGAAAGGAAGATGTGATTGCTTACGTGAAAGTGTTATCTTCATCGTTGGAGACAGAGACAGGAAGAGCGTTGATGCTGACCGCCAGGGCCGACAAGGCAATGATAGAGTTGAGGAACTTCATTTTGAAGAGATGAGAAGTTAGTGTCGAAAGGTCGAGTGTCGAATAGGAAGGAGAATAGATGATTGAAGTGAAGTGTGAAGTAGTAGATGATGCAGTGAAGAGTGAAGTGTGTGATGATGAGAGAAAAAAAGAAGTGATATGGACAGGATATTCGCAATGATTTTATACCACATTGCTCGTAGGAAGTAACTTGGAAATTATCGTAACGAACCACACCTGTACCGACCGTTTGCTGTCAAAGCATGTCGCCGGTTCCTCGGTGACGTGAGTTTCAATCGTCTCAAGTCAATTCATGAAAGGCTTTCGGGGCTCCGCAATTGCACCATAACTCAATCAGGGAGTGCAAACCGAGACCCGGATGCTCCGTGTGGGCGTTCATGTCTATCAGCGAACCCGAACCTTCCGCAATGATCACGAACATCCGGTCACGGCTCCTGGGTGAGGCTCTTTCTGACTTGGGCAAGTCTTTTCGAGGTGGACCCGGCTCAGATGTTTGGACCAAAGCGTGGTAGTCCACCGGCGGCGATGGTGATTGGCGCTGGGACCTATGGTCGATTGTCGGGATGGCTACCTACACGGACATTCCTTGAGTGAAAAGCCGTTCGTCCAGTCTCATCATTCACTTCGAAATTGACAAGCCGGTTTTCTTTCAAAGTTGCTTAAGCCGGTGGGCGGCCAATCTCATGTAGAGCGAGAGGCTTTTCACTTGGTCCGAAATTTCGACGGTCACGTATGACGAGTACGAACACCGCGCACAGAGAACTTTATGATCTGGATCAGCAATCATCTTGGTCAATGTGAGGGTGACGTCGTGCGTAGGATAGCTCCGTTGCTTCTATGCAGCGTTCGATGTCTTCTCTTGCATGTTTGTTGAGACGCGCACAGCCGTTTGTAGGGCGTTCCTGCGGGCAGCTCTGGTCATGTTTAATCTTACGGCATATCTAGGTATTAGACACCGGGTCGGCAGACGAACGTTATGGGAAATATGAATGCCGATCGGCAGCCCCGCGATGTCTGTGTCACTGTAACCGTTGGCTAGAAATGAGCATCGTGATGAAGCCCAGGCCGCAAACCCAGAGCGTGAGTTTCTCCTACCACAGCCTATCGGCCAACTTGCGATCATGAAAAGTACGCCGATGAATGGGCAAAGGTTGAGTTCCAGGCGAGGAAACAGTCCCACAATGAAGAATAGGTGCTTATCTTTGCTGAAGTCTTCAGGGTAGCCCTAGCTTTGCCATTTTCCAAATACCCCTAAAACATGCACTCTAAACTCGCCCATGTAATGAATGCTTCACACCACAACTCAAACATCGGAAACCGTCAAACTGGGGATCAATAATAGTATAATTGACGAATGCAGCCTTATGTCTGACCCTCTGCACACTTGCTAGCTCGTCTGTCACGAAAACCTTGGCAGGTTCACCAGCAGCCACCCAGGAGATGTCCATGGTGGTGGGAGGCCAAAGGAATTTTGACAGTAAACCGCCCGTCTGCATATTGTGTCGTTCTGGAGTTCTGCTCGAGGCACGGAGACCACGGGCTGTTTCATAGCATCACCCAAAAGGATCACCAATATCGTCCGCGCTCGGCTCCGCCGGATAGCCCAGCAAAGTCGGCAGGAAGCCGAATCGCGGCGTATGTCCCCTGAGATCGGATCAGATGAACTCGACGTCGATCAATAAGAACGCAACCCTTTCTCTGAGATAGTTGCTGTTCGGTGTCAAGTCGAGTCATTCCTGCATGACGCTATGTCTCTGGTGGCCTTCGTCCCCGAATGCCCCCTGGTATTCGGTGTTGTCAACATGCACGGTTCGGCCCGAGATCAGGTGTTTAAATCGTTCACAACGTGGCCCTCTTAAGGTTGTCAATAATCTATCTTATGCAATCACGATGTTTATCAGAACAAAAGAGCCTCATTTTACGTTTAATCGATAATCGTGCGGGCTCCGCATGTCTTATTTCATTCAATTCGAAAATTCTAGAAAAGCGGTTGCAGTCGTTTCCGTGCTGTGCGTCGCGCTACCCGCTGCTCGTATATCGGATAGATCTGGCACTGACAGGTGCATGTCCAAGTAAGTTTTTGAGGCTGACCTAACTTTCGGTACAAGAGAAAGTGGAGGTAACCTAGATGAATGCGCTTTGCGTTCATAGCCCACTCCTGTCGATGACGTCCCCGACATCTCATCCCTAGTTGTCCAACTACCGGCTTATATGGAGATTGCCGATTGATGGATGCCACTTTGCAATGCCGTTACAGTGCAAATCTGGCGCCGTTGGATATTGCGACTTCATGTTAACCTTGTTGATCAAATGCTTGATTTGAGAGCCGCAGCATTGACTCAGTTATGACCGACGCGCGGGTGAATCTGGTCTCTACGAGAATTTGGCTCCTCATGAGTTTATTCGACTAATATCTGAATAAGGCTCGGGGCTCACCGTCGATAACAGCAAACTCCGCGCTCATTGGATGACCCGGGCGGCGAAGGCTTTTCGCTCCCCGAGTGCAAGAGCCTTGATCAAGTAAGGCCTCCTGCGGCAAGGGGTCTGCCTCAGGGCCCACTTTGGGTTTGCCCTGTCCCAAGTTCCTCATGATCATTCCCTCGTCTCCCACCTCATCATGTACTTTTCAACCTCTTGTGTGCCGGCGAACCGTTCAATCAGCGTCTCATTCCCAGTGAGACCAAGTTCATGTTCATGCTGGACTATCTCCTTCGCCCAGCGTCCGTTGTCAATTGTCCAAGTTTCTAGATCCTCAAACCCAAGCCTCTTGTAGAGACCATAGCCTTCTGCTGATGCCACAAGGAAAGTTGGAACTCTCTCAGCATCACTGATATCAGTCACCGTTCGCAAAAGCTTGGCCCCGATACCCTTCCGCTGATATTTTGGGTCAACCATGATATGCTTAATATCTAGAAAAACCCAAACATCAGCAACTTTCATCAAATTCCATGATCTCGAAGCTAGGGCAGCTGTTGATCCAGGCTCTCAAGGGGTCTTACAGTTGTGCTTTCTCCCGTCCACAGCCTTCTCATAGCACACATCCATCTCGTCCTCTCTAGGGTGACCAAAGCGTTCCCATAGCTCCTTCATGTGGTCCTTGACGGCGAACAGATTTGAAGCTGGAGTTGTGACTGCGGGAGTTTCGTGCGCTTCCACCGTTGTGGTTGCATCGCTTGGCCCCGTCGCATCCACGACGTGGTACCTGATGAAACCGACCACAGTGTCCGACTCATCTACCGCTACGTAGAATTGGTTTTTGGGGGTTTGCACCACGCTCCTTGTGTTTACTAGGATTATCTGCTCGATCGGATGCTCATAAAAGGCTTGGTAAAACTCGTGGAACTGGTTGAGGGCCTCATTGTGAACCTTGCCGATTGCGTCAGCGTCCGAAGACTTAGCGAGACGAATTCGAATTTCAGAAGCCATCATAGGCTAAGTTTCCGTCAGCTCGAGAGTGAGCAAGTGCAAACACAAATCATTGGGCCTGGAAGCGGTAAGACTCGAGTTTTGTAGTCTGGTCTGCCGAGGCGCGGGAATACGTTTAAAGCCGGAGGATGCGATTAGGAGGGTCGAACGGTGCTTAGCTGCAGCGACCTTTCCGTTCCGGTGGTCAATTGGGGCCGTGGATGTGGACTTCATCAGCGGCGTGACTCATCCAGCTCGGTCGATATGATTTGAAGGCCTTGCTGGGGTATTACAATAACAATGAGAAACTCCATGAGGATAAGGAATAATCATTTTGCGATACTAGCGACCGAATTATGTCCAAGACCCTGTATGAACGCCCCAGGTCGGGAATCAAAGGAACCTAGCAATCTGACGGCACAGCGAACCCATCAACTCGGCCCCTCGTTCCAGAACCGTAGACAGCATCCTGGCCAAAGCCTCTCCTAGCAAAGCCTTTCCAAATAGAACACTTGTTTGCGCCCCCAGTCAGAACCTGGTCCGCTTCCAAGAGCGCGTCTCGAGCTTGGAGATGATGCGCGCTGCATGGCATCAAAGCTTCGCTGTCCAAAATGAGCTTCAACAGCAGATACCGAGCTCCCTGCGGCAAACCATTCGCGTCAAAACTGACAGTGCTCACGTCTCCAATTCCATAGGTGTCCACCATGTTCCAGAAAACATCGTACAGCACCGAAGCCCAAACAGTAGCCAAATCAAAGCCTCCCGTGCTGACCAGATCGTTCAAAGACGAATATGTCAGCGGCGTCGTCTCCAGACTGGTCGAGACATAGTGAGACCTTAGCCCAATAGGCTGACCGGTTGCCCAATCTGCGATTGTGTAATCCATGCTCCTAGTATCACCCTCCTTGACGCGCAAGAGGGTAGGTACGAAGTCAGAGTATCCCTCGTTGATTGAAAGCCCGTTCATGTCGGAAAGACAACCCGAGGTAGCCGGACCACCCACAAGACGCCCTGTAACTCCGTGCATGTACTCGTGCAAAAGAATTGTCGCATCGAACATGCTGTCGCGCCGAGGTGTACCCGACCATACACCCATTGACAAGCGAGGACTCCTTCCATCAGCTGGCACGTAGATCTGCGCTGAGCCTCCTGATGCTTGCACAATAAGCTCGAGCGGGTCACCGCTAGCACCACCTTTGCCGTTGTTGTTTGCTTGAAAATTTCCAGCATCTTCGTCAAAGCCCAGCTTGTAGAGGATATCATGGAATTTGTTCACGATGTAGAATCCCTGGGTGGCCGATGCCTCTACGTATGATGCTGGATCCGTCGTGGCTGGCGAGTAGGGGTACGAAAATAGCAGGGAAGGAGAGCTGGGGTTGTTGCCTGATGAAATGGTGACGAAGGCGTTGTTGCCGTGGAGTATTGTGTATTCTTGAGTATTATCGGAATGCCAGCCAAAGGGCGAAGTAGCCGTGTCTTCCGGGTTGGCAACGGATTGCCTCGTTGATTCATCTGGGCTCATGGCCCCCCACGGACTGAGAGCCGATTAGTCCAGGGAAGACTAACCGAGTCAGAATATTTACTCACTAGACCTCATACGTAGCCGTATTTGTGTAGTCAACCACACCGCTGATGTCTTTACCAGTTGTGGCATCAATGTACGTGTGGAGCCAGTTAGTCCCAATGTCGGTCTCAACTCTCCATGCCAGCGCAACGGAACCGTTGACTTGAACGTATGCCAACTTTACCAATGGATTGGTCACAGCGCCCCCGACACCTCTTATGACATATGTGCCGTCGTCATCTATAGATTCTGCTGTAGATGCCGCGACACCTGTGATCGGAAGATCAAGAAGCTGAACTGCTGTCTGAAATGCTCCAAGGGGAGTGGTGGAGGGGCCGGTTATCTTGGAAATGCTCGGTATCTCTGGAGCGTGTTCGGAGAAAGAGCTGCCAAACGATAGAACGGTTCCATCTCCCAAGATCTGTCGCAAGATGACAACTTAACCACCTAATTCAGATATGATAGATGAGGAGAACGAACATTCACATTAAATTGTGCATTGTCCACGTCAATGCCATCCACGGTTTGTTGAAAATGCACATGCGCCACGCCGTTGCTTCCAACGTAGGAGTCGTCCACCAGCCGAAATTCGGCTTGGGGTACAGTTTCTCGGAGTTTGAGCGTCGCAATTTCAATGTAATCAGCGCGTTTGTGTCTTCTTTCGGTGGTAGCTTTCGGCTCGGGGAAGGTCGCACCATCAACTGCGATGTAAGAAGACACTGTGTTGAAACGATAGCTGTTGAGTAGCTGCGTTCTCTTGCTGAGTTGCCGTGTTGCTTGAGCAGGATGCGCCACAGCCTGACTTGCTAAACCGAGGAGCATCAAGGCGCCGAACAACAGCATCTTGAGGATGAGAGATCGACCGGATTATTGTTGTTAGACTTTTTCCTGACTTTGCGATGCCGCGTTCTTTAAGTAAGGGACTTAATAGATACGACGCGGGATGCTCGTATTCAACATCAAGGCAATTCAGTGGGTCGCCCGGACATTGGTGCCAGAGTTGGAAGGTTCATTTCAAGCCAAGAACCTGAAAATGGAACCTTCCTGCTAAAGAAATGCCCCGTTGCTAAAACTCTTACTGAACATTCACGATGATCAGATGACTCGGCCTGGAAATAAAATGACCAAGTCGTTCCATCTTGAATTTACCCCCCGTCCCCTCCGTCCGGTACCGTGCGGGAGCTCCCGCTTTAAAAAGCCCGGCATTTGCCCCAGTTGCGCTCTGCGGAAACCCAATGATCGACGGCACGAGAAGTGGCCGTCCAGGATGCGGTCCACAACATGAACCATTGTTCTCACGCGACTGAATTCTGGTCCCGAAGTTCAGTGCGTAAAGAGTCCATTAGACCTACCACGATAAGTGTTTGCTCGTCATTGTGGCTTGTCACTTCGACACTTCATGTGACTTGGGACACGTAAGTAGGTGGTCGATATTTGTCGCGCCAGGCGTTTCTCAATTTCCCGCAATGAGACTTTGTTAGCACACCACAATCACTATATGTAGAGCCATTTTACATGCTGAAAGCTTCAGCATTCCAGCCTCGATCGATTGAGCTCGGTAGGTGCAAAAGCCGCAACCCGACCAGGGCTAGGGGCTTCAACATCTTCAATCATACTACCATCCACGGGACTCGAACCCTAACACAAAAGGCTCAACCGCCAAATCAGTCATCTCGTACATGAATTGTTCATGAATAGCTACAACGCTAAATATTCGTATTCTCGATTTCCCGTCGATCTTGTCCTCGGCAGATTCTGACCACCTACCCCCTGCGAATCACGACTCGAGTCACGGGGTTCCATTCGCGCGCTAATCGACCGAACATGCGGGGATCCCAGCCTCTATTGTGGCCCCAAGTTTTCCCCGCGCAGTCGTCATCGTCACCCATTTTACATGCGTAAGGACGCGGTAGTTCGAGGACATCCTAGGGGAAGCGGCTCGGTACGATTGGCACGGGTGTGCTTAGCTCAGGGCAATATGCAGGTTCCAAGAAGCGCGCATCCGCGATCCGCTCGCGACGGAAATTGCTGTACGAAGCCAAGACGCCGGGTCGGTTGTTTGTGATCATGAGCCCGTCGGGGCGACCGAGTATGGTAATATCCGGGGACAAAGCTTTCCATCGAATCACGCCAGAGAGGAGTTTTAGCAATATAAAGTCGTCTAGCTGGTCGCCGCAAATCACCATGTCAATAGACGGAGGAATCTCAAGCTCTCAGCAATCCCTAGCTATCCACTAAAGGCCCAGCAGCCGACAAAATGAAGCTTTCGTCAACTCTTGCGGCGGTCCCATTGGCTGCGCGCTTGGCCCAGGCCGCATTGGACGTGGACGCTGTTACCGAAAAGTACTTCGGCAACGATGCGCCATGGTACCATGACCGCATTCCGTTATTCGAATCGAGCGACTCGGAAATCACCGAAGTCTACTACTACCGTTGGAATGTTTTCCGCACTCACCAACGCGATGTCGGAACAAAGTACGGCTACATCACGACAGAGTTCATTGACAATGTTGGCTGGCAGACGCAGCCGTGGGCTTCCAACAATTGCGCCGCAATCTTCCATCTCTCAGAAGGCCGATGGTGCCGCGACCCTCGCTTCAAGCAAGACCATGCGACTTTCATGTACAGCGCCGACAGCAACCCGCGTCAGTACTCCGAGAGCTTGGCAGATGGTGTCTGGAGGAACTATCTCGTCGACGGAAACCCCGAACTCGCTATCTCCCTCCTCGACGACATGCAAAGGGTTTACAACGAATGGGTTGGAGACCACTACGACGAGTCGAAGGGTCTTTTCTGGATCGAACCCCTCGCCGACGCGACCGAGTATACTATCGCCAGTATTGACGCGTCTGGCGGGTATGATGGCTTTGGTGGAGGCCAGGCTTTCCGCCCTACCATCAACACCTACCAATACGCCAACGCGCGGGCTATCGCCAAGATCGCCGCTTTGAAGGGTGGTCTTGACGATGTTGTTGCGGAATACAACAACCGAGCCGACGCCATCAAGGAGACTCTCCAGAGAGACTTGTGGAACTCCACATTCGAGCACTTCATCGATCGCTTCTTCGTCAACAACGAGAACGTGACTTACTGGGACTTCATCCGAGGACGTGAGCTCGCTGGCATTGTGCCCTGGGCGCATGATCTTCCCGATGATGATGCCAAGTTCGGTGAGGCATGGAAGCACGTTCTTAGCTCCGATCAACTCGGCGGCCCCTTCGGACTGCGCACTGTCGAACCCTCGTACGAATATTACATGCGCGTTTGGCGCTACGAGGGCACCCAAACCGAGTGCCATTGGAACGGCCCTTCTTGGCCCTACCAGACGACCCAGGTCCTGACCTCGCTCGCCAATGTTCTCGACCACTACCCCAACTCATCCTCGCTTGTCAATGTTGGCGACTACACCAGGCTGCTCAAGCAGTATGCCAACCAGCACTACAACAAGCACTTTGACAACATCTTGGACATTGAGGAGAACTACGACCCTGACACTGGTGAGCCAATTGTCGGACTGGGACGCTCGCACCACTACTTCCACTCCGGCTACGTTGACTTGATTCTGTCCGGCTTCGTCGGTATTCGTCCTCGCGCAGACGACGTTCTGGAAGTCAACCCCCTGGCTGACCCATCTTCCATCTCCTACTTCCGCGCCGAGCGTATCCTCTACCACGGTCAAGAGATTGCTGTTCAGTGGGATGCGACTGGTGACCGCTACGGCGAGGCTGGCCTGCGCGTTGAGGTCGGCGGCCAGGTGGTCGCTTCATCCGACAAGCTCGAGCGCCTGACAGTCGACATTGCTCGCTCAACCGTCTCCGTCTCCCGCCCCTTTGACCAAGCGATCCAGCTTCAGGCTGATATAACCCCTCCTATTGTCAACACTTCCGTCGCCAACTACGACATCAACCGCCTCCATGACGTCTTTGATGGCCGCATCTGGTTCTGGACCCAGGACACCATTGCCAATGGCCTCGATACTCCTGAGGGCAGCACGAATGAGGAATGGGTTAGCACGGAGTTCGGCGCGGCTGTCACGATTTCTCGCGCCGAGATTGCTTTCTTCTCGAACGAGGAAAAGGGTCTCGATGTTCCTGCGAGCTACAAGCTGCAGGTTTTGAGCGGCGAATGGACCGATGTCGCTGACGCAACGTACGACGAGCCTCTGGCGAATGGCATCACCAACGTAAAGTGGACTGGTGTCTCGACTGAGTCCGTCAGAATTCTCGTGACGCCCAAGGAGGGCAAGAAGGTCCGTTTGGTGGAACTGAAGGTTTTCACTGAGTAGTCGATCGATAATGATTCATCGGGACATACCACGTAGTTAAACTCAGTTCTTTTCTGGACGACGGACATAATTCATAGAAGCTGGAGACCATCTCCATTTAAGTTAATACCTCTCATAAGCTTTCCCATTGAATGAAAGATTCCTTTCATCCCTTGATTTTTTTTGTTCCAGCTATTGGTCTTTCCATCGTGGACTTTGTTTCACGCTGTAGTTTCTCCACTAATTTAGGACGTGTTGAAAGTCCTTCTGAATTCGCCGACACAGCCCGACTTCATTGATCATACTACCGTTGGCTGCGATAATCCCTTGGGGGTTTCCCATCAACATCAAGGTCGCCTTATCGCGAACGCGAACCATTAAGCTTGGATGTAGAGGCCTCTGGCTTGCGATAAACACATCCAAACATGCAGAAGGAAGCCATTCCCGCGGCCTCCGATGTTGTGCTTGCTCAACCTCATCAAAATACGGTAAATGACAACAATAAGGCAGATCCCAATACTTATGACGATGAAACTTCAGCCGAACTATAAAAAGTACCCTGGTATCCCACAACATCCACTGCATTAATTTCTGTAAGGCTGTGCATAGCCCATGCGAGTCAGGCCGGCGATCTCGGGCGACGCCGAAACCCCTGAAGTCACCAGGCCTACCATAAGTATTTCAAAACGACATACATACATCACGTCCCCAATACAGCATACTTAAATCGTCTGGTCCGCTTTATCATTTCCTGCGCTTTGCCATCTGACTATTCACGACTCTCATATCAGCCGTTGACCGTGTTACCTTATCTTCAACAAAACAAAACCTCCAAATTACCTTCCATCCACAGCCATGAAGATCTCATTGATTGTTTTCCTTACCACTCTCGTCTCCACTGGACTGGCTTTCACCATCGACACCCACATTCTTCAGAGCCTCCATCGCCGCCTAAACATCGAAGATCGATCCGTTCAAGAAGCAGCACCAGCCATCGCCCCGGAAGACATTTTGAACCCGGTTGTGAAGCCAAGAGAATGCGAAGAGCCCGCCGAACCCGCCGAACCTAGCGAAGCAGAGCGCAAGAAGGGTGCGAAGCGCCCCGCTAGGCCTTCTCGACCGTCGAATTGTTAAGGCGTGCCAAAAACGCGAGGCGCACATTTGAGTCGACATGTTCGAGTATCAGCGACATTTTCTTGAGATGGCCGAATAATCGTTATCTTCGCTTTCAACATATCGAGACCATTGGGAAAGAAGACGGTCAGGTTCATCGAAAGCCAGTGACGGGTCGCCAATGTACATCTACTGTAAATCATTCATCTTTCTTCAAAATGCCTATTCATTAGTCAAACTCAACTATTCCGTCTTGCCAAACAATCTGAGCGCGTGCCATAGCCCAACTAGCCCGCCTGAAGTTGACGAGCGGATAGGCGAGCCGAGGCGCGGGAAGTAACCATTCTTCACAACTGACCTCGGGATCAGCTCCGGGTCGATCCGCCAAGCCGCTAGGGAACGATTGATGCTAAAGGGCTGACAGCGCATGCAGGTTGAACACAATCACCAATGACAGGGCGGGTGTGACTTCATCGGCAAACGCCACCGTTTTGCCGGCGCGGTGTCGCTCCCGCCAAATTGGTAGCCGATCTTCCATGTGTCACTGGCACGGCAAATGCATAAAAAGGTTGGGGTTCGCCCTGACTCCATTCCGCGACTTTTGAGTTGGCAGTTTCACGTGCGCCAACAGGGGCAACTTCAGACGGCAGCTCAAGCTTGTCCAAACCTACTGATTCCGCAACCAAAACTCATTGCCGGACGCTTCGGGATTGAAATCACGATTTCGTCATTAGTCCCGCATAATGAGCAGCTCCGCGAGCTCCACCGAATTCGACGCTGCGTCGCAGCAGCCAGAAGTTCTCGGCAGAAGTCGGGAGGGGATGATTGCCGAGTCGATGAAAAATGGCGAAGACATTCAGAAACAGTTTCCATCAGTAGATTTCAAAGGAGCCGTTATAGAACCCACTGTCAATTTGACGTTTGACATCCAGGTATGCTGGACCAATTCTCAGATCATTCATGCGAGCATTAGCAATGTGATTCTCTACGTCTTTGCATCCTAGTATCTAACAACGATCGTAGCAACATGTTGATGACGCAAACCAGCGAAGATACAACACCTTAATGGCCGAGATGCTCAAGAATACCGCCGATCCTGCTTTTGCGGAGAGATTATTGTGGGAAGCAAGGAGTTGTCTTCGGAACTACCCCGAGGTACTGGGGCAGTTTGATTCCATCTTCATCAGTAAACGGCCTGTTCCAGACATGATCAGAGAGTTGCATGAGGTTTTGGCTACAAAGAAAGAGACAGTAAGGCGGATGAGCTTACAGAATCCCGAGCAGGGAACCGCCACTGGGACAGCTTAAAGCTGAGAAGACTTTGACTAGATGGGCGGCATGCTCCATCTGGCTTCGTTGTTTGTAGCGTATTTATGTAACACCAGGCCTTATGATTGAGTATATGATGGTTACCGCTAGCCTGCAAAATATGTATACTGTCGTTCCGTCTGCTGACAAGGCTATGAAGTCGAGAGCTTGTCGCATATGTCTACTGCACCCATTCAAGTGCATTTATCATCCAATCTTCTGAGAATTTGTATGTTTCACTGACATCGTCATTTTCGGGTAATCTCTTGCCTTCCTCAAAGGAGGTAGCCTGCCAAGGCACAGCAAACGTTGGGGTGCTCAAGTGACCATACAGCTAAACCGCCTTCTAGGTATTGCTAGGTTACCTGTAAGACCATGGTGTCACGTCTTCTTTAGCGAATCTACCAGCTTCGCACGTGTTGCTTGACAGCTCAGACAAAGTATTTCTTCTTGGAGGGATAACAGGCTGTGGCCAATGGATTCAGCGGACAATTACATTTTCAAAGCAAACCAATCAACATCGACCATTGTCGCGAGCGATTAGTAAAAGCTTCAATTATTAGAAGAAGCTAAAGCCTTCTCAGTAATTGGTTAACAGCGATTCTATGCCCTTTATTTTCAAGCAATTTTCGACGTAGATACCTAGTGTGCGTGTGAAATGTGATTCTCATGGCACAGAAAGAGCCTGCACTATTTCAGAGGCGTCACTAACTTTGCTCTGACGCGCATTTGAGTTAAACTCCAGGACATCGCTGAATCGGTGCGACACTGTACTCAATTGACAGCTCCTCAGTGCCAAGTAAGCTGACCGGTGCGATAGCCTGATCACAGAATTCTGGGCGAATCGCCTGGGTGGTCTGCCAAGCCAGGTGGCTTTTCAATGATCAACATGGTGTAGCTGCAATGGAACATTACCCATGGGATCATGATTGGGGGATAATTCCACTCACCTGTTTCTCACATTAGAATGTGATTGGGGGCGGTGTTCAATTTTCAGAGCTCAGCTTGTAGAGGCGTTGCGATGGGGCTAATTCCATGGCCCTACTCAGACGCTACATGCAAGATCAAAGGAATTATCTGATGAGATCAGAACGATCCTGGCGCAGACTAAAGAAAACACTCAGATCCGTAAGTAATAGTTCACAGATTCATTGACGAACCCCTCAATCCGACGGTGCCAATCGGCCCATCCCAGCGTATCATTGCGTCCGGCGGCCACCCTCACAATGTCGGTTTGCCCCGAGCCCCCTCATTGTGCCCCTCCCTCTCGGGCACAGCCGCCCAATTTTGGTGAATAATCCGCTGTGTTGGTTGTCTTCAACTGTGTGTTGGAAAGGTCTTTTCATTTGACCGAATGCTGCAGCCTGTTGTCACATATGCCTCTGAGTGGCTCGGTTGAGCAGGGGTTCACAGCCATTGCATCTCGCTTGCCTATTTCAGACAGCTTACGGGCTTGTTGGCTGCAGGTGCTGATATCGTATGTTGAGCTACCAGCATTTTTTCTATGCGTGTAAGATGGAGCCCACCCCGGTCATCTGAGGTGAGATGCAGCGAGGCTTGAGAAAAAGAGCGAGGAGGAGAGTGGGAAGGATGCGCCGGATATGCAGGCCGGCGGCGTACGGGTGATCAGCTCTGTGCTACTGTATTTTTCATAAAGACAAACAGGCCCCCCGTTTTGATTGATTGAAGTTGGTCTGGTTCGGTTTTTCTTCTTCCGTTCTCTTTTTTGTCCCACACTCGATCGCTGTGTGCCATCGCCCGGTCTCTTGACGGATCTGAGCCAGCCAAATTAGTCGCCGCGATGCTGGTGTCATTATTAGCAGTGGCCCTGGGCCTTGTTACCCACGTTTCAGCACAGGAAGTCTCCTGCTACGCACCAGACGGTTCAGTTGCCAACAACGAAACCTACGTTCCATGCAACAAGCTCGGAATCACTCAGTCCGGCGTCTTCTCTAGCTGCTGCGCTCTCGACGGCCCGGCCGACGAAAGAGACATTTGCTCATCATCCGGCCTATGTATCAACAAGCAACAGCAACCACAGAGAGGGTTCTGTACTGATAAGACATGGAAGAGCAAGGCTTGTGTCAACATCTGCATGGATGAAGCGGTACGGTCTCAGGGCTTTGGGGAATTAACAGACGTACTAACACTAGATAGTCTGGCGGTTCCGCTTCCAACTCAACTATCCTTACCGCTTGTAATGACGGCACAGCCAAGTATTGCTGCGGAGCATCGAACACAACCTGCTGTGGCACAGATGAAGCGATCTCAATCCAGACTCAGGAATCAGTCTGCACTGCGAACACCACAGATGGCAATGGCGCTGGCAACGATGATGCTTTCAAGGGAGCCACTATCGGTCTCGCTGTTGTAGCTGGAGTCTGTCTCTTGGCTGGTTTTATCTCGACATTTTGGTTGTGGAAGCAGAACAAGTCCCTTAAGCGTCAATTGTCTGAAAAGCCGGACGTACCATCAACAGCGGGACCCAACACCCCGGCCCAGACCCTTGTCGAGCCTCAGCACACCGGCACAGATCCCCGAAGCTCCTACATTACCTCTTCTCCGGGTCTGTACAAGCCGCCTTATAGCACGTCGCCTCGAGAGTCAGAGTTTCATTCTGGGAACCTTCATAGATACTCGGAACTGGATGCATCAGTCGCGACGGCGCGAAGTGAGATGGGATCTCCAACACCATACGACCAGCAGCATTTCCACCAGCAAGGGCGCGATTCTCCCGTTCCTGAAAGCAACACTACACCCATGGGCTCCCCTCACATGCGGCATAGGTGATTCAAAACAATGACCAAGGAATATGGGGTTTAACAGCGATTGCATCTTGAGAGATGCGACTAAAATCGGACATTTGTTAAACACAAGGCTTCTCGCGAGCCAGTTGTACGTAGCCTTAATCAATCGTTGACGCGACATTATGTTTATCTTACCGCACACAACTGTTCAACGATGGGCACAATGTTAAATTATCTGATTCATCTGTTTCAATTAACTTTGTGCAGAAGCCCACAAGCAGTTCCAATTTTTGACGCCTTTCACAGTGCCTAAATACTAATACCCATTTAGAGAAAAGGTGACCACCATACCCTCAAGTGAGGCTGTTGGAATGATTTCAATTGGCTGTTACAATTTATCCGCACAGCTGCGTCATAGTAGGTCGAGAGTGGTAAGCAGCGCGCCAGCCCCACGAATTTCTGCCTGGATCTCGGAGACCTGTATGTTTCCTTGTGTCAACTTTCAGGCTTTTCACCGCCAGTACGTAGAAGCCAAACTCTTCTGTCGATGAGCGGCCTGCAATCATCAACAAACATCATGATAAAAAGCTTCAAGCCTCATAGAGCGTGGATCTAGCTGTGATAGCGTCGGTTATTCATCAGGAATTGCCCCTCAGCACTGCGGAAGAAGAAATTCGACTCTTAAGAATATTACCCGGCGACTGGTCAGATCAGATACGAATCCAGCTTTTCATCACGAATCTTAACCATAAGCCTAAATATAAGGCCCTTTCATATGTATGGGGCGAGGCGAATCCGTCCGACAAATACCAAGTATCAGTTGATGGTCATATGATCTCGGTTACCGAGAATCTCTTCCATGCCCTTCGTCGAATTCGGGCACATCAGATGTTTGCCGAAGAGGCTTTATGGATTGATGCTATATGTATCGATCAGTCGTTCACAGAAGAACGCAATCATCAAGTACGGATAATGGGCAAGATCTACACCGACTGTACGAACGGCCTGGTATGGCTGGGAGACTTGGAGTCTAATCTGAACGATTCCGTGTTTGTCGAAGCTCACCGCGAATGCTGGTCCTTCGCGGGTGACTTCAGTGACTACGAAAGACTGTGGGCTAGGCTTGTCAAAGTGTTAGGCATCACACGTCGCGAGTCAGCCAGTGTCAAAAGATGCACGTCCAATGACGCTTTCAAGAGCGAAGAACGGATTCTCGAAGTTTAGTGGGCCAATTACGCAAATCGCCTGTCTTTAGGAGAGTCTGCCTTTCACTTAGCATGGTTTCTTCGGCAACTTCCTGAACGATACCCAAGCCGGCGCACAATAGACCCCTACATGAACTTACCGCATCCTCTGTTAGGCTCATCTTGGGTGGAGGGAAACTGGTCACCGTATTGGGAATCTATCTTGAACGTGCTCGCCATCGTTGTTCGAGATCCATGGTGGCGCAGGCTCTGGGTAGTCCAGGAGTTGGCCCTTCCCCCCGATGTTCACTTCCTATTCGGCCCTGTCGCGATTTCCCTCGATATATTCACGGATGCGCTGTACTTCATGCAGAACTGCAATGTTTTCAACAGCTACTCCAGCCGCGAAGGCGATGAGATTCTGGACCTAGCTTCCCGGCATTGGAGAGAAATAGTAACTCTTCGGTCAAGACATCAGCCCTCCTCTCAAGGGAAAGCAGCATTCTCCTCATGCTCCACTCTATTTTTGAGACAGCAGACGCTTCATCGAGATGCCACTTGCGATCATGACCAAGTTTACTCTGTCCTCGGCCTGCGGCCTGAGCGCCTCACTTTTGAATCCGAATTACGCTTGCGATCCTGCTACTATCTATACTCAAGTTTCCAAAGAGGCTGTTGAGAGGGACAGGAAGCTGGAAATTCTTTCATGCGCCAGCACAAAGCTGAAATTCAAACACGTACCAAGTTGGGTAGTTGACTGGACTATGCTACGAGAGACCACCAAGCGCCGAGCCTGGTATGAGGCATGGACAAGCTGCATCGCGAATATTTCGGATGAACATTATTCATCTCTTCCAAAGGATTCAATGCGTCAAAAGAGCCCTCTTTTCAATGACCAAATTCTGGAAGTGGATGGAGCTAGAATGGATCGCGTGTTAATGATGTTACCACATCGTTGGGAGTCTTCCGAGCGGACAGACTATCGGCCTCTAGATGTACAGAGTAAGGAGTTTCTTTCATGTTTCGGAAACCCTGGCGAGGTCTATGCTGAGAGATGGTTGTTGGGGGAAGTCTGGCTAAGGACGCTATGCCTTGACATGAAATGGGGTCAAAAGGGGCTCACAAGAAGTACGGATGCGCTGCAAAAGAAAGAGTTCCAGGACCTTCTTCTACTATCTGGATGGAAGGGTATGGAGCTCTGTTCCGATGGGTTTGTGGATGGTCAGTCTAGATCGGAGCTTACAGCTTTCAGGCCGGGGCGCACTATACGACGTCCATTTGGACCCTGTCCCCAATCAAAAACGTCAACAAAGAACACACGGAGAGCTTTGAGAAGAGATGCAGACCAAGTAAACCACCTGAGCACCCAGTGGATCATGTTGGAAAGTCGATTGAGGCTAGGATGTTTGAGAGGACGTTGTTCATTACTGAAACGGGATTTCTAGGCAGTACTACTCAGGGTGTCGCTGTTGGCGACAAAATCTACCTGCTTCCTGGGGCTATAGTTCCGATCGTCCTGCGACCATGCTCAGAGGGGGATGGTCATGACAAATTCTCTTTGGTAGGAGATTCTTTTATTCTCGGTCTGATGAATTCCGATAATTGGCAGAGAGCACTGGAACAGCTCAAGCGTATTCAGATAGTATAGCTTCATGTCAGTTTCCTCATAGACTTGAAATGCCCATAGCTGACTTAGCTGTTATTAACATTTCAATATCAACCTAAGACTCGGTTGTTGGAATACAAAGTAGCAGCGTATGAGAGGCACCTTGCTCTTTTCTTTCTTTGTATCTTCTTCTTTTCTTATTTCTATTTGTTTGACTTTTGATTTGACGTTACTCCTTCTGGGCAATCAGAATATGGCCACCTAGTCTTTTACCTAAGAACATCCAATATTTCTTTTCGTTGATCTAGGACGTTTTAAGACCTGTAACGGGCAACTATCGGAGGCGCTCTTGATTATGGTGTGGGGTATATACAGCACTGAAGGGTTCCAATCAATCGTCAAATCGTTTTTTATCACCCAAGTTCAGGGTTCTCTACGGTAATCCCCAATATCTTTGACTTATAGCAGCTTATGATACTCAAAGGTACAGAAGCAAAGAATTCAACATATTGAACAGCTGTCCGTCTGAATCAACTGGCCTGAAATCAAGTCATATCATAGACTCGAGGGCGGAAAATAGTATGTCATTCAACCACTGGAGAAACCGAAAGTGACAGGCGTGGCTTCCTGTGCTGCAAATTGACATCTTCACCGTCGTAGCTTCGAAATGTTCAGAAGACCCCGTAGAAGTCTTGGCTACACCAGTATAACTGCTGAAGGGATTCTGCAAAGCGATGACGGCATTTTTACCATTCCACTCATGATCATAGATCATGGAAACCTCCTCATCAGACATCTTCTTTGTCTCTGGGAACCAGAACTAGATGATGATGACATCGAGACAGTCCAAAGTAATGTTCGAACTGGCGGAAACAAATAGGATGATCTCTTGGCATTAAGTTTAGCCATGAATCCACAATATGATTTGAAGCTTCCAAATACTACTCAATACACACTTTGTGTGGCGGCCCACCTGGCACCAGCTGCCAGGCACCGCCTCCAGCCCATATGGGGCCTTCTCCAGCCTACACTGCCTTGGCCACTCTCTCCCACAGACACCAACAGACCCTCGATTCACCACTCACTTCTGTGGCCTCTATACTTTGAAACAATTAGTTCAGCAACCGGCCGCCTTATCTTGGGCCAGGCAACGTTTGATGGTTTGAATCGCATAAGTCTCCCAATCCTGACTATTATAGGTACCTCGTCTGGGTTATCTGGGCTAACACGTTACTGACGGTATGGGTGCATTACTTTGGCCAATGTCCAGATCGACAGAATCATGCTACATATTAATTACGCATACTACACATTAGTTACGCTTTTGACTCCGATTCGGAATGCACGCAACTTGCACCGCCATAAGCTTCCTACCGTGAAGGCCACGGTTCTCTCAGATAGTCGCTACAACGAAGAGAGCTCATTTACGAAAAGACGTACCCTGCAAGTTCATGCATCTAAGATGGACAAGCCTAAACAAACCTTATCCCATCTGAGACAAGATAGATACTTGTAGGACCTGCATCGCAAGAAACCGGGGTTCCGTAGCAAGGTAGCTGTCATCTACTACAAGCCCACAACATAAACTTTCGATCCAGCCGTCTTGAGTCTACCAATTGTATCCAGCTAAGCCTCACCCTTCAAGAACGGGGAGTCCAAGCAGTCGAAGCTGCGTCTGAAAGGATATGCCATGAACGCAAGTCTTGCAATGCAATATCAAAGCGATTTGAAGTACCTACTCATCATTTATTGGCCATGTTGTCAAAGATTGATAAACATACGTACGGCAGGAACCTTTTCCGCAAAGTGTTGTTGTACTTTCTTGTCAGTCACTTGTGTCCAATTTGTTATCAAATGCCACATCATCTTGGCAATAATTTAAAGACATTGACCGCCGTTGCTAGTTGGTGGGTACGGGCGAGTCGGAGCGAGTCATCCCCGTTTTCTCGGAACCGATACAACCAAAGTAGCAAGTTTCTGCCGAAATCTTGTGTCTCTGAGGACGATGTAACAAATTCTCGGATAACTGCCCGGGCGACAGAAGGTGTATAAAGCTCTGCTTCAAGACGTCCCCAGTTGGAAAGTCCTCTTCTAGAATACAGTTCATCAAGTCACTCGTTATCACAATTCCCTTTGACATCAACAAATACCAGCATTCTTCGCCCACGTTTAAACACATACTCGGGCTTTTACGGTAATTGCCCAAGATGCGTGTCATTGCCCTCGTTTCTGCTGCACTGGCTTTTGCCATGCCTATCTCCGTGAGTATTTCCCTTCTGCACACATAGGTAGCCGGAACTAGAGTGTGGGTTTCGAAGACTGACAAGAGATAGGCTGGTGTATGCGCGGCCTTTGGTGTCTGCTCTCAGAATGGAGAGATTCACGACTGTACCTCTGGAAGCTGCGTTGGCAAAGTTGGAAGCTCCTGTACGGTATCCCTTGCGGGACCGGTTCTTTGCCCCGTCTAAGCTCTTGGCATGAAAAACAAGATGCCAAGGACTTTCAGAGGCCTCGCTATTATAGGTCAAAACCTCCATAGCCTTCGGTTCCGGAATAACGTGCGCTTCTTACTCGTTCATGGCTTGTAAACTGACCATCATGCCGCATTTTCTTTTCTACGTTTGAGAGCCTCGCGTAAAGCCCGGTCCGCCACAATCGCCAGCCTGATTCACATCGCATGTGTCTCGCCCTGGAGTGCCACAGTACTAGACATCACCAGTCATCCAGTTGATTCAGGCAATAACAACTAATCACGAGCCGTCGCAGACGGCATTGTTTCACCCACAGAACTGAGACTTGAAAGCTCTGAATTCGAAGGTGACCGGAAATAAGTATGAATGTTCCAATTCAGCAAGTCCATGCCGATCCATCGACATCACAAGCTTTTCTGTTGAGGAAGCATGGCCAATGCCCTCGATCTTGAATTCTAGATATGAGGCGAAGGCCATGTGCAGCCTACATTTTGTCTCACATTTCGTAAACCACAGCAGCTGAACGTCGCCGACACCTATGCACGCCATTGACTTTCGGCACCTGTGTTGCTCTATCGCTGACGAATGGACCTTTTGTTTGAAACATCTCTCAGAATCCATTGGCGGTGATTGTCTGGTTGCGTGTGCGCTGACTACCCAATTATTGGGCTGAAAAGAAAGTGCAAAGAAGCTCATCTTCCAATCAGATATCCGGAGTGACCAACCTGAAAAAAAGAAAGCTGGCAGGGCCTGCTATCTTTGGAAGGAGGACTGCTATTTAGTTTACGTAAGGTAGACTTCGAGACGTTAAAAAGCACGATTGCCCCAGCTGATGCCGAGAACCTTTTTATCTCGACTTGCACTGACGTTGCCATATATGGCTTTGTAACCCAGTTCAACTCCTGCGTCCAATTGAATTCACGATGGCTCACAGAGGAATACGTTTGTTTCCAAACCTAACCGTGGCGATGCTCGAAGATCATCACGTCGATGGATATCGCATACCTCGTGTGTGGCTTCAGTGGGAAAACGAATATTTAACCCGCCCCTACTCGATTATCCGAAACCCCAAAATCCCTGCAAGACTCATCGCTGATGGGTGTCAGCTTCCCAATGGTACTTTCAACTGTCGAGAGGCGTGCAAAGACCCTGGCACCATGTTCGAGTCTCCACAAACTCTGTGGAACTGTATGACTTTGGCTACTTTATCGATTCTCACGAGATCGCATCACACCGACCCGGGACATGACAGCATCAACGAAACTCAAGTGGCCAGCGCGAATGAAGTGCTCAACTTTGGCAATCTGAACACCTTCGACTTCCCTTTCGCATTGTACCGCCCTTGCGTCTTGGAATCATGCTCCGACCCCCGGTTTGGAGGTTGCTCCCCAAATGTCACCGAATTCCTATCACATCCAGTCAATACCTCCAGGATTCGCAGCTTTGCCAATGTCATGAGCAGAGACTACTGCGGATTTTCTGATCCAGGAATTGATTACGACATTGCCGGACCAGGAGTAAGTTTGTTCCCTTCCTTATGCTTGGGCCATGAGAAATATACTACAAAATCTATGACCAAGACTACTCATATATAATGGGTCGCACCCGAAGGCAATCAGCTGACAGGTACTACGTAGGTTATGATTGCTTACTTCTTTCAGTTCGGCCTCGCGTTCTTTTTCTTTTTTGCCCTGAAGACGACGACGAGCTGGGTCAAGAGTTGTGCCCACGCAACTTTGCTGGTAACCAGAAAGACCGAAAAGGAATCCACTGTGCGGTCACGCGATTTACAGAAACGCCTATCGGGTACCGCATTTGCCGAAACTATCCGTCGTGCAATCATCGATCTCCAAGAGACTCAGGCTGCCTTTTTAGTTACCATTGCCATCGCAGCGATCGCCACCTTCCGGGGCAAAGAAGGAACAGGTCTTGCCAATATTCCCACCGTGGTTTCTTGGATAACGAACGACACTATTCTGAGGGGAATAGTCGCAGCAGGATCCTATCCGCTGCTTCTCATCCAGCTAGCCCTTCATGCAGCAGGAAAGCGATGGTTGTACACTCTGTTGTTCGTCGTTGTTAACCTCATTTTGGTCTCCATCATGCATCTTCCAAAGGACATCGACCCGTCGACCCTGCTGCCGCATTTCGAGGATGCAGCTGAGAATCTTGGAAGCTGCGGAAGCCATGCTGGCCCAATGACCTTTTGTCAGAGATTTCGCCAACGCAACACGGTAAAAAATCCAATCACGCAACCGGATCTTTTCTTCTTCATCACGTCGAGACACCCGCAATTTATATATTTGATCTCGGGCTGCCTCGTGCTTGACTGGACTACAGTTACCATTCTCAAGCGTTGGAATCATCAGCCCCGTTCTGATACGATCATCCGAAATCTATCATTCATAACGCCAATATACGAGGTCTTTTGGGCGCTCCTAGAAGTTGCCACTTTCGCAATGTGCGTGTTATCTCTTGTGGAAATCAAGGCCTTTTGGGACGTCTTGAGATCAATTGGAGAAGGTCCCAAAAGCGAAACAAATATCAACAATTGGGGGTTCGGTCAGTTGATCGCGGTTGCGGTATGGTTTCCTGTCATACTGAAGCTGTGTTGTTCCCTTGTCTGTAAGTGATTATGCTCACTTGCTACGAAGAAATGCATACCTATGATGAATTGCCAAGCTGACTGAGGGCGAAGACAATGAAGAAGACAGAAAGATCGACACGAAGAAGGATCAAGTCGCATCTTACACCAGGATACGAACTCCTGCCACCTCGCAGGAAAGTGTGCCCATGCCGGCCGTCGAACTTGGATACGTTGCTCCGAAAAGGTGACAACGGTTTAAAGCTCTTTGGATCCTGCCGTTAGAACGATGAAATCGGGGGACTTGCTGGACCTGATTAGTGTGTCGTAAGATTTTCAGTCATAACGTCAATTGATATGTGCGCCTTTGTTGCAATAGAGCTGCATCCTGAATCCTCACAAAGTGCCTAGGAGGGAAGAATATGGTTGATCAGGCGCTCTCCGCGACATCGTTGATAAATACATAACCCCGCATAGATGCACAGACTAGGCCGGAGATGCGGCACATGCCGACCAGTCTGGGGGGTCAGGATGACCTTGGCTTGGCGCGAGTTGAGCGCCCGCTACAGACGTCCGACCCACTGCGTAGTGCCAAGGCTCAAAATACCTCATTGCAGGCCGTCTGAACTAAGATCTCACGCGTTGAATCTACCCGGACCCAGGTTGCCTCCCCTTTCACCAACGGCGCCTACACCGCCCGCACCGCATTCCGAGTATGGATATCTCGAGCCGCAAGTACCGTGAAGGGGGCGATGCACGTGCTGCCCCAGGTTTGGTGAAGTGACACTCCCGTCTCCGTCATTTCTCGTCCCATGCCCCCCTTCTGCGACCAAAGTGCCTGTCGTTGTCTCTCCAGCGGTGTCGATTTGTGTCCTCTTTTCCCCCAGTTTCCCCGCGTGAGTTTGGCTTCTAGTTTATGTGTGAAGAAGAGCGAGATTCAGCCTCCCTTTCCTCGGTTCTTTGCCAATAACGACGACAACCAGACTCCAGACCGTGAGGCATTTTCATTTCATGTACCCGCGATCCCAGCGCCCCGAGCCCGCCGTCCATCCCAAGGCCTTCCGACCCAGACGTGAGCCAACCTGCACCGTTGACGCGAGACATGGACTGGTCCGCCGTAACGAACTTCAACGTCGTCATCAGCGTTCTTGGCGGCTGGCTCGTTCTCTTCGGCACCTTCTCTTACCTCATCAAGGAGACATGTTACCTGTCTGAAGCCCGTAAGTCAAGACATCTGAGGCACCTTCTGCGGTTATGTTCCGATTCTGGGATGAAGCAAATGACTTTGTATTTGAAGTTATGAACTAACCCTCAACTCAAGTGGTTTCTCTGCTTGGAGGAGTCACCTTCACTCATGTCGCCAAATGGATCAAGCCCGGCGAATACGCCGTGTCCGAAGATGCCGTCGCCTCCGTCACTCTTGACTTCAGCCGTCTGGTTCTCGGTGTCCAGCTGGTCCTCGCCGGCGTGCAACTCCCAAGTCGCTACCTGCGCAAAGAGTGGAAGTCCCTCTCGCTGCTCCTCGGCCCCGGTATGATCGGTATGTGGGCCTTCACGAGCGGCGTCGTCTGGCTTCTCGTCCCAGACCTGCCCCTCGTCCACGCCCTCGCCATCGCGGCGTGCGTCACCCCAACCGACCCGGTTCTCTCAACCACCATCGTCAAGGGACGTTTCGCCGATGAGAACGTCCCCGAGGACCTGCAGCAGATCATCGTCGCCGAGTCCGGAGCCAACGACGGCCTCGGGTACCCCTTCCTCTTCCTGGCGCTGTACCTCATCAAGTACACCGAAAGCGACGGCAACCCCGTGTCTGGTGAGGGCGGCTTCGCCGCCGCCATCCGCCTCTTCTTCGGCCAAACCTGCATCTACGTCGTGCTGATGAGCGTCTTCTACGGCTGGGTCGTCGGCTGGCTCGCGCAGAAGCTGCTCCACTGGGCCGAGCGCTACAAGTACGTCGAGCGCGAGAGCTTCCTGCTCTTCCCCATCGGCATGGCCATCTTCATCCTTGGCACCTGCGGCATGGTCGGCAGCGACGACGTGCTGGCGTGCTTCATCGCCGGCAACGCCTTCACGTGGAACGACTGGTTCCGCCTCGAGACGCTCAACGACCCCATCCAGCCCGCCGTGGACATGATGCTGAACATGGCCATCTTCATGTGGCTCGGCGCTGTGTGTCCCTGGGAGAGTTTCTGGACGTCTGAGTTGATTGGCCCGGGCCGTCTCTTCGCACTGGGTGTTCTCGTCCTGCTCCTCAGGCGGTTGCCTGTCATCCTGGGCCTGCACCGCTACATCCGTCAGATCCGCGGCCCCGGGCAGGCTATGTTCGTTGGGTATTTTGGCCCGATCGGCATCTCTGCCATCTTCTATCTCTACGTCGGTCTCGAGTTCCTTGAGACGTTGACGGACGAGGACGGCCAGCGAGCGGACGCGAAGAAGCTTGGCGATACCATGTTGATCGTCATCTGGTTCTTGATCATCTGCAGCGTGGTAAGTTTTCTCTCGCTCAATAGCCTTGCGGTGTGCTCTAACAACTTCAAGGTTATTCATGGCGTCAGCGTGCCCATTGGTAAAGCCGGAACGACCCTGTATGCCCGACTTCGTCAAGGCCGCATCGCTTTGCCTACGTGATAGCGTCACTTTTGCCCTGTTGGCATCTCCCATCACTTCCCTTGCCACACGCTATATTTCAAGCATTTTTACGATCTCGAATTCATGCGGCATTACATCATGTGGGGGTTCCAATTGAGCGATCTGTGATCATGGCATTGTTCATATTGATCGATTTGAGCAATTGGTTCAGCTGCAATGCATTGTTTGTTTTGTATCTAGCGAGCATCGTCCTTCGCCGTTTGTCTCACTCGATCATTCTAGATGGTTTTCCCAAATACATATTCTGTCTTTTCAGTCAACGCGCGCAGTGTTCTCGCATCATCATATGAGGAGGTTCTCAGCTATTGAGTTGATTCATGTAAAGTCATTGATACTATAGGTTCATATTCTAATCATACGTCATCTATCAGAGGAAGTCGCTCTACCTCTCAATTTCAATCGTCCTGCTCCTCCTAATCTGGTGGTCTTCCTCCTCGTCGCGATGAAGCTGACGACCTGGGAGCCGCACTGCATGGTCAAGCGCAACCGGCAGCCCTCGATGCCTTCCGCGAAGCATGACAAGACACAATATGAGCTTGCTGCCTGTGTGCCAGGCGCCGCAAAAGCTGAAGGCGTCAGTCGGGAGGCCCACTGAAATTCCAACGCAACCATAGGCCGACACAACCTCGAAGATGATATTGAAAACGGAGAACGTGACCGGATCTTTGATGAACTTGGATGTTTCAATGATTGTGATGATCAAGGTAGCCAGGACCAACCACCAAAGGTCGTGTGCGAGCTGTCCACGGACTTGCTGACTGATGAAACTGATGCGACTCTCCGGTCTGGGCTGATCAGGCCCTGGGATGCTAGGTGCCCCAGCCTTTGGAGGTGCAACACCAACGCCATGAAAGCTCATGAAGGTACTCTTGAAAGCACGTCGCGCATCAGATACCGGTCCAGAGCGACTAAGACGGCGAGCTAGAACTGAAGGGCGGGCAGACGCTGCACCGAAGCTCGTGGTGCGGGCTAAAGTAGGCGGACGGCTTCCCATAGGTAGCAGCGGCATACCCGCCTCTGGGTCAGGCTCTGAAGTCGTTTCCATATCGTCACTGTAGATACCTAGTGACCGCTCCTCGTAAACGTTGGAGTGGCGCATGGTGATTACCACGGGATATACGGATATGTACATCATGATGACATACAGTAGTTGGAGCCCGATGAAGAGCCCCGAAATGGGTACGACGTAGAAGCCACCAGACCGCACAGCTGATAGCATGGTTAGGACATGTCTCTTGACATCTTCAAACGAGCTTTCTGAAGAGCGTCAAGCTTACCTAGGGCCTGGAACAAGCCATCAAGGATACGAGACCCAGTCGGGATCTTCTCGATGACTGAGTTTCCAATATTGAGAAGCTCAAAGGCAACCCAGTCCACAGAATTAAGCCATAGGAGCATGAAGAAAAGCCACCAAGACGCTCTGGATGGGAAGAGATTCGTGTAAACCCTACGCGGGTACTTCAGGATAAATTCCAAAGTGGCCTTGAGGTCGGTGAAGGCGTCCTGTGGCGTTGCAAGATTCAGGATGCGAAGCATACCCCAGATAATCAGACGGAGGAATAGCGGGTATGCGGTGTTTCCGGCCAGAATCAATAGCCCCATCGTGATCAAGACATAGTAAGCCTCTTGGAAGGGAATCATGTTGGCATCCAGAAGCGACATGCCCGAGTTGTTGAAGGCCGAGACGGCGTTGAAGATGCCAAGCCACCATGGGTTGATACCATTGGCCCTTGCCGTATTGGGCATGTAATTGTTCATCCAGGCTCCGAGGGCAAGGGATGTCAAAAATTGCCACATGAAGAAATAGGCGGGCACGATGGTGGCAAGAACCTTAAGAGCTCGGTACTCGCAGCCGCCAAGATGATCACGCTCTGCGCTGCTGAGGTCGTGGAATTGACCATTGCGACTAGCCGAACGGTGCTTCAAGAAGTGCCGAGCGTCGAGGTCGATATCGGCCGAGTCTGTGGGAGCCTTGGCAGATCTCCTTGATGGAAGGGCCACTCCATCGCCTTGCACAGAAACACCGGTCGAAGTGGCTTGCGTAGCATTTGGGTGTGGTGTATCATCGAAAGTAATATGACCTGGGTTTTGGGAATCTGCAATATCTTCAACATCCTTGGTCGTGTGCTTATCTCTCGTATTCACATCTGGCGTAGACATAGCCCGTCGGAACTGCGGCGGACCTTCGGTGGTGTCTGAGTCCTGAAAATCCGGAGGAGGGTGCGTCTCTGCAATCCGGCTTCCAGTCCCTTTGAAAGACTGATCTGGAGGCGGCACAGTCTGAGCCTTTCCGAAAGAAAGTGCGAGCTGAAGCTTTGGCAGAGTCAATGGCAGCCGTGGCAATGCCAGAGATATCGTGCTGCCTTGGCGGCTGAGTTTGCGGGCGCGCTCTGCTCGGAC